TAATTAATGATACGGTATTTCAAATAATAGCAAACAATAATATAGTAATAGATTGTGAACCAAATGGTAGGCAAACAGCATATTATATACACTGAAAATATCGTTATACCTATTATACCATAAGTTACCAAATCATAACCAACTAGATTGGTGCAAGCTAAAAACACTGAAATCAATATGATTAATGAGCCGGTTGTAAATACACTATATTTTATTAGTAAATAAAATAGTTTTATAACTTTGAGATACTTTTCAATCAAATACTTGTCGCACAAATGAATTGATTTAAAAGTATTGTATCCATTGATAGATGAAATAATTTCAAACCACTTATAATTGGTAATATTACTATTATTAACTAGATACAATAGGATTAGCACCATGTTCAAATAGATTGTTGCGGACCAATACATAAATTCCTTATTGGGTGCAAAGTATTGAAAAATATCATAATAATAAAGTGGCAACAATTGATTTGGTACAGAATTATAGATGTAAATTAAAAATCTTATATAATTTAGCAGGTTTATTGTAAAGTTAATAGTAAATTTTAATTTTTGTTTAACCCGCGCAAATTTAGTAACATTTTTACCATTCACATCAAATCTGTAGAATATTCCGTACTTATAAAGTGGTAATTCAATGTCATTTTTGCCAAATTGATCCATGGTATGTACAAGTTTATTATTCATATTTGTGCAATAGACTTAAAATAAAATACTTATTACTTGTTTTTGCAGTATCCTAGTACTTAAACATAATTAACATGGGACTTTGTGGTATCTTATAATTATTCATACATTAAATATAAATTTATATATATAGTAAGATAAATGATAACTTTAATTGCTTTATAGTTCATTAGTTTTATACATAATTATTAATGCTATTGTGTAACTATTGTGATATAATGATATTATTAAGGTTATATTATAAGTAATTCACCAAATATGCTTAGTTTGAAGTCAGATATATAATACATTTGCATCTAATTATAAAGTTAAATAAACGTTTACAAACTAATAACAAACATTAACAAACTAATAACAAAATATAATAACAAACTAATTATTTAATAAATTCAGTTTTTAACTTTTTGCAAATTTATTAGTTATCATAAAAAATGAGAAATTAATGATCTTTTTAGTTCAAATTATTATGATAATTGTACCAGTTTAGTTTAGTACTTACTTTAAAAGCTATAGCTCTGGTGATGACGAATTTATTGCCACACGAAAAGCCTGTCAATCATTAAATTATAATATATTATATTTAAATAACATTTTATGGTTTTATTTTAAGCAAAATACTAAATCAAATACACTATACTCAATTAATTAATGTACTACATTCTTATTCAATTTATTTAATGCCAAGAATTGTTATATGTACCAATTAACATTTATTGTAATTATGAATTGTGCTATAATTGGCAAAGATATTTACTTTATTAAATACACAAAATATTATAACATATCCATATGGAGTTTAAATTTAGGATATTTAATTAATTTAATATAAGCCAAAATACATACAATTTTGGTTAGTTTTAAAATGTACATTATTATTTTACTCAATTATTACAAAACTAACTACAACAAATATTTAACTACCGTACAAATTGAACCAATTCAAAATGATATTTATTTAACAAGTACAAACTGGAAATGTGCATATTTGAATTCAATCATAGCCTGACCGGTGGCCTCATCCGTGAATTGTCAACATTTCTTGAGGGCTTTGCCAATAATCTCCGGAGTCCTCATCGGTATATCCCTCTCATAGTTCACGAAATACTGTTTCCTTATGGATGTGGTTAACGGCAGTATATCTGATGGCAAACAAGTCATCACTAATTACCACAAACTCAAGACATTACACAAACACTAATCAAACAAAACATACGCTCTTTAAAGAAGTCAAACTCAAAGACAACGTCTTTGTGTAAGAATTGGTGTGAAATGACATCAAAGCCATTGATTTTGAAGAGTTTGTGCCAAATGTCAAACTGAGTGTCTTTTGAGGGAATCTTAAGGAACTCCTTCTCGTGGACGGCCTTCTCCTCACCCGTCAGATCCATATAGAGATCGGATATCCAGTAGATATTAGCGTAAAATTTGCTGCCTTTCCGCAACAGTTTGTACAGATTTTTGACCACATTTTGCTTGTTTACAATCCAATGCAAGCAATGATTACTGAATATGAGGTCTACTTTGCCTTCGAGGGCCCGGAGTTCCGGTGTTAACACATCCCAATCCGCACCGAAATCCTGCGCAAAGTATTGGATGTAAGGCTTGCAGTGGTTTTGTGTCGCAAATCCTATCATCTCTTTGTCCACATCTATGCCATAGATTTGCTTGACTTTCAGTATATCACCGATAGTTTGGGTTATATTTCCAGAACCGCACCCAATATCCAACACTAAGTCATACTCTCTAATGAAACCAATTTTGTCAATTAAATAGTGTTTCATATATCATAGAAATAATGTTCAAGTACATTATTATCACAAATAAAAGGTTATGCATTGTAAAGTTAATAAATTAATCAAAAGTGAATTAAATTTTTTATTTTTTATAACAAGATTTATGTAATAAATAAAAACTTTTAATACTTATCACTATTTTCGGCTACAATTCTGTTTAGGAGTTCCTTTGCGTCTCTTATTTGCAGTTTATTTGATTTGTTATATTTTGTTGCGTTAAAATCCATTGTATTTTGTTATACTGTATAAAAGTTACACTAAAATCCTTTTCACAACAAATTCACCACTTATTGAATAACTTGTCGCAAGACTTTGGGCTGATTTACAAGTTTTTAGTTGAAATAACTTTCTGTAACACAAAATATATCATTAATTATTTACTTTTATAGAAATCCTATCCAATTGTGTACTTACCGACCATGAAATCCAATCAATAGTTTATATAATTTGTGAATTTTTAATGATTAGTAATTAAATAAAAATTTTGTCAAGCATTCAAAAATGATAATCACTGGCAATAACACATAATTATAAATGAAACGATTCTCATATTAATTGCTAACATTTACTCAATACTTTTGAAATAACTTTAATTTAAAAATGAACTAAAATATAACAAAAAATAAATATTTGTTTGAGGAGTAACTAAATAAAACAAAATACTGTTTACGAAAAACACAGATTTTAAAAAATAAATATTGAGTTCATTAAACCAGACATAGATTTAGGTTTTCGTAAATCAAGAAAAAATAATTTACATTAACTTTTTGCTCAAATCATGTTTTCTAATCACAAAAATCTTAGACTTTAAACATTTAATACATTGTATGCTATTTACTGTACATAAGTTTATAACTACTGTTACTAACTTAATACCATTCATGCCTATTTATTAATTGTATACTGTATTTGATTTATGATAAGATCTTGTTGATTTATTACTGTTGAAAATTTTCATTTGATGTTTATGTGATCAAATGTACTGTCGAGTAGTACCAGTATACTTATCAAATCAGTTTATTTGCAATTAAATTTAGTTAAAACGTTTTAATACATAGAAATATTTATAAAGATTGAATTAAATAAAATTTAAAATATCACTAAAAGCAAATTTAAAAAGTAAGTTATTATAATCAATAAATTTTAAAGGTATTTATAATAAAATACTTAATTTTGATAGCAGTATTTATACCCTGCACCTAATGATGATTATTAGGAACCTTACGATACTGTTTAGAGTAGAATAGATTGTAATCGCAGTCCAAATAACTACTGAAATAATCACTAAAATGATGGATACAACTAAGAAACTGATGGCTAACATGTAATAAGTGTGGGAACTCTGGGAACAGGATTCTTGGGTCCGAACTATCCATCTGTTCCACAATCTTCTCATATTGTCACCGGTATTGCAGCCATGGTATGCAATCTTATTATCCAGTTTACAGACTATCGCTAAGACATCACTATCTGTACACGAATACAACCAATTTAGGAAAACCTCCGTGTCATTGTGCACCGGGATGTTAGCCCTAAGCCTTATAACCCCGGTATTATAAAAGTCCTCCACTTTGAGATCCGCTGATCCATTACCACTGATTAGTGTTTTGGACATATTATCGATGATTTGGAAGTAACCAAATGTGTAGGAAATGGAGTTATTGTTGGGTAGACTGAGTATTATGTAATTCCGGTCATCTTTATCACGTCGAGCAGATCCCCTATACATACAAGTATATCAAGTGATACCCGATTTATATGCCTTTTTATCTTTTCTTTGTCGCAGTCTTTCAGTATTAACCACAATATCGTCATCTGTTTTGATGATATAGTCGTTGACTAAACACTTCTTTGAGATCCAATTCAACAAAGAGATGGCTTTAAGCGTCAGATTATAATAGGAGTCAACGAAACCTAACTGAAGAATATCTCCGTATTTCTCCGATTCTGTAGTGATATTCCTCTGGATTTCTTGACTCTCATTGGAGTCTGGATTCTTATGGTAGGAATACATGAATGTGACTCTCATGTGGTGTTTGAACGCCTCTGAAGCCCAGGTATCTCTGGTAGCGGTTCTCCTGTCGTAGTATTTGCCGGAAGTCTTGGTCGCCGAGTAAACCAAGATTTGCGTCCAATTGTGGGAACACTTGTGCTTCGGTTGTATCAGTGGTTCATCTTTTGTGAGAACCAACTCAGACATCAAGTGCTCGTGTGGTAGACCTGTAGGCCATCCAAACACAGGAACAGTAGTTGTGATTATAATCACAAAAGTGACTTTTACGTAACGCTCATGTCTAATTTTATGTGTAATCCATATAGAAAATATAAGCAACTAGGTAAAATTGGATGCAAATCTTGGTTCACTAAGCCGACATGACAGGCGACGGCAAACACAACAACAGGAGAACCGCTACCAGAGATACCTGGGCTTCAGAGGGTAAAAGCAAACATTAAATCCGTGCGACTTTTGTACTGGCACAGTCTAAATCTCAGATATAATTATTTTAGATTAATTATTCATTACGATTTATTGAAAACACTTAATTGACTAATAACAATTATTTGGAGGTTCCCATATAAATTTAAATTAAAAGTGTGTCGCCTTGTAATTTAACCATTTTATTAATTTAAAATATTTTAATTTATTATAAATAAATAAAGTTCATTATAACTGGAACATAATTACTTTACTATTTAGCTCGGTATATTTGTATTAACCATGGTATACCTGCGCTTATATTTAATAAATACTTTGATTGAAATGATAATCACTATTGTTATGGTCAATAAGATAATCGATATAATGGTCACTGTCTTTGCTATTAGCCACACATTACACGAACTAATTGTCGTATTCTTCCAGGAGTTCCACAAATGTCTGACATTATTTCCGGTATGGCAGCCATGGTATGAGACATAGTCGTAGAGTCGGCAGACATTCACATCACACACTTGCGATACATCGGATCCATGATTGGGGAACTCCTGGTCGTCGTAGCGGTCAATACCAGCCGTTTGCGACACAAAACCCGTCAAATAGAGGTCATCGATGCGCAGCACCGGTAGTATTGAGGCATTCATAGCAAACCGATATAACTTATCGATGATATCAGTGGACATGACATACGCTGCCCCCAGAAGGTAAGGCGGGTACCGTTCAAGTGGGTAGACATTGGACGGCATATACCAGTTACTGTTGGCATTACGGGGCGGTTTGGTGTCGATCCCTTTAGCCATATATCCTGTTATTCCCGATTTAAATGCCTTTTTATCTATTCTTTGTCGCAGTCTTTCAGTGTTGACCACAATATCGTCATCTGTTTTGATGATATAGTCGTTTACTAAACACTCCTTTGAGACCCAATTTAACAAAGAGATGGCTTTAAGCGTCAGATTATAATAGGCGTCAACGAAACCAAACTGAAGAATATCTCCGTATTTCTCGGATTCTGTAGTGATATTCCTCTGGATCTCTTGACTTTCTATAGATTCCGGGTTCTTATGGTAGGCCAACACGAATGTGACTCTCATGTAATGTTTGAGTGCCTCTGAAGCCCAGGTATCTCTGGTAGCGGTTCTCCTGTCGTAGTATTTGCCGGAAGTCTTGGCCGCCGAGTGAACGAAGATTTGCGTCCAATTGTGGGAACACTTGTCCTTCGGTTGTATCAGTGGTTCAGCGGTTGTCAGCAATAACTCAGACAATGAGTGCTCGTGTGGTAGGCCTTCAGGCCATCCAAACACGGGAACAGTAGTTGTTATTATGGCCACAAATACAATACAAATAATATTTACTAATATGTAACGGAATCTCATTTTAAAGTCAATATAAATCACAAGTATTTTTGGTTAAACTAATAACTACTTAATAAAACACAACACAATTAATTAAATTACAATTTATGTCAATAGTTTCACATTTCATAGTAAGGTATCATAAAAACACTGTCTATAAAATTCATTGTCTATTGTAATCAAAAAGTGGGATAATTGCAAAAACAGATGACAAGGTACTTTTTCGGTTGTAATGTAACTTTAATTTATTTAATAGAAATTTTTATACAACAATTTATAAGTAACATATATTTCATATTTACATAAAAATATTAAATTACGACAATATATACGACAAAACAAATAATATTAGCGATGATATGAGAGAAAAATCTATGCAATCATTTGATACCTTAAATGCTTTAATACAGCAAAACATTAGGAAAAGTTTACGAAAACATTATTATCATAGAAACGGATGTAAAATATTATTATTATTATTCATTCATTGCTTTGGCATTCAATTCAATGAGACATTTATTGATGAGTGAATAAAAACACATAAGAAATGAAAACATATGTTGGAAATAAAAAACTTAATAATAAATTCGTAATTAAATTAATGAAAACAAAAAATTCATAACAAGTCATAAAACTCTGAAAAACACAGCATTTCTTCACTTTTGTCTCGCAATTGCATCAAAAAACTCAAACATCGCCTAAAACTGGGCACTCATGTGGTGTTCGCCGTATACCCGGTGCTGCCCACCCATGGGTACGACGGGGGACACGGCTGACAGGTCTTCAAAAATCTCGACCCACTTTTTGAGCCCACGTTACATACGGTGGGGTTCTTACAGGGGGGCGGCCTATCGTCAAACTCGCACTGCCAGGGCTGGAACTCTTGTATCCTGTCCAGGGGTGTCGGCGCTCGCATCCACTGAATCATCTGGTATTTGGTGACCAAATAGACGTCCTTTTTGGTGAGTATCTCATCGATGAATTGCATGAATCCCTTGCGGTGGTGAGGGGTGTTAAACCAGGCCGAGTGGTAGTACAGGCCGAACGGCGCCCGATTGGACTGGTAGTGGCGGTTGAAGTTCTTGAGTAACATCTTATGGACGCCCTCCTCGTCCGACGGGTTAGAGCAGGCGTCGCCCATAGAGCACCGGCCCCCCTTCAGGTCGTGCCACATCACCATTCCTACCTCCCATACTCCTGTTGTGTGGCATGGATGAGATTTGTAGAAATTATATTAAATATACTAGGGTATTTTAAAATGTTGAGATATATACAGTACTAATTAATAATTATTTTAAAGTTATTTTTAACTTCATTCATAAGTTTATAAATTTAGTAATTTTTAAAACAAATTTTTAAATAATAAATAAAAACTTTAAGTGAAAAGTTGTATAATAGATCTGATCATTATTGTGACCCAGCTTAATCATGCATAATTGAACACCACGAACCTGGAAACGATTTGGTGGGACAGGGAGCTATCATACACTCGTGATTAAGGGAGTAGTCGAGAGTGTATGGGTAGAAGGGAGGGCTGTTTTCAAACACCGGCATCGTTGAGTCGTACGTGAAGTTCAGGTCGTATAGCATCTCAAACTGCTTATTACCGCCGCCCTGGAGGAAGGGGGCTCTCATACCCCGGACATCGGCCAGTGCCACACCGCCATACATGTGCAGTATCTCCCGCTGGCCGCTCACCTCTTTGCCCCACTTTTGCACCGAAAACTTTTCACCGAAACTGTGGCTAAAAGTTTTGAAACAATGAAACAAATTAGTGAATTGATATCGAAGTCAGTTTTGAGGTAATGTATGGGAAATATCGTATTTACTGATCGTTAACTGCATGTTAATAGAAATGGTTATTGAAAATACTTATTTATTTGTTAAACAGGTTTAAAATTATACGGTATTTAAAAATTGTAGTCTATCTAATTTTTAATATTTAAATAATTTACAGAAATTTTATTTAATTGTCTCTAAAAATACATACGTGACAACGGATGCCACAAATTACCAATATTATGATAAAATGTGCTAGTTTAAAACTATTCTAAACTTTTATATAATCTATATAAAGCAATTTTGTCATTTTTAATTTAAGTGAACTAAATGTACCGGTATAAAATTGTTATCAAATTACGGTAATAACAAAATCAAATTACGTGATAGAATGGGAGGCCATTTCGTGGCCCTGGGAGTAGAGGGTCTGGACCTGTCCGTAGTCGGTCCACTCGTGCGACACGTAAAACGTGCCCAAAATGGGACACCCGTTGGGATTGAGGCGGCGCCCGAACACCTCCTCATATATCTCCCAATTGAGATCATTGACGGAGTCGTCAAACGTAATCATCACCATCTGAGGGATGTCCTGAGCCGCCAGTCCCCCCGGTATGGCCGTACCCCCGCAGAAACAGTCGG